ACCACAGGCCTTTGCTCTTAGGCACAGTTCTAGCCCTTCATTACTTTTTCTTTTGAGGTAAGATCTAAGTCCAGGCCATGCTAGAACTCGTGATCCTCTTGCCTCAGCTTCTTGGGCTACTGTGATTACAAGCATACACTACCAGGCATGGCTTAAAGTATTCTTTCTCAGTGCCTTGTTTGTATTTGTTCCTTTAATATTTTTTTCCATTCTAATATTAATTCAATTTAATGTAGTTTGAGCTATAAAGGCATTTGTGTAACATAAAGGTTATTCTCTAACATGGTGTTAAGAAGGCATTTTCAGTGAAATCAAGCCTAATCAGACTTGCCTTACAGATTGTTCACTTTTTTTCTGTGAAGTTTGTTAATACAAACCTATAGATGAAAATAATTTTTTATGAATTTCATAAGCATAGCTTCCTGTTACTTTATTAATATTGTATACACCATAATATGGTCTTTAATACAGTTGTGCTTTATGTTTGTGGTCATGAGTCAGTCTACTAAAATAAGTGAAATACTGCCTGTATTTTAGGATATCATTTGAGTGGGCGTGGAGGGCTATGAAAAAGTTTGTGAATTCTTATGTGCTAAATATAGAAGCCAGCACAGCACGATCTGCTTGGGTGCATGTTGCTGTCTTGCTGGCTTGTTTGTAACTGCGCTTTGTCTCCTGAACAGTGAGTTCTCTTTTTATAGGAACACTGGATGCAGTTGGTGTCTGGCCTCTGTGTCCCATGCCACCTCAGGCTCTCCATGATGCCTTTCCGCGATCTCCGAAAAGATGTTTTGGAAGGCCGTGTAATGGTTAGGGAGATAGAGGACTAGTGCGTGGTCTCTTTCTTCGCCATTAAGATAAAGATTGCAGCTGGAAAGACCTGCTTGCCGGTTTATGTTTCTTTTATACTTTTAGTCTTAAAATTAAAATTTTGTACTTAAACAAACTTAACCTGTATAGGCTCATCAGTATAGTAATTATGTGGTCTTATCTCTGTCCTATCTGTAGGAAAAATAATATATATATATTTTTAATGTATTTAGTAGAGGGTCTAGAGGGTCTCACTAAGCAACTCTGACTCCTAGTGATTCTCCTGTTGTTTTCAGCCTCCCAAGCACCGGGGTTACTGGCGCACACTGCCACGCCCAGTCTCAGGTCTGGCACGGTAGGCAGGGGATCTGCTGTGCTCTGCCTAAGTCCGCTGAGCTGTGTGGCCAGCCCTAGAGACAGAATATTCTTGAACTTTAGAAATTTAGCATTGTTTGGTCAAAATAAATAAGGCCTATTTTCTTTGAGTCCGTATGTACTGAAGGAAGTGAAAAATCAGGTCAGCCAAGAAATTTGTCCCTCAAGTGGGGGACAGGCTAGGGATTAAACTCGGGTTCACATGCCTGCTATACAAGTACATGCTTGTGATGGTAAATCTTAACTTCCTATTTTTCATTCTTATACATTTTATTTAGAATTTTTTGAATAAGAATTGTCATTTTTCAACATATGTTTTCCTGGTCAGGAAGCAAAATATATTTCATGTGTTTTGGTTGGCTAGTTGAGGCCTTCTAACTAATTTCAAAGATTGAAAGCCTGTTCTGTTATACAGATGCCAGAAGCAAGGAAGAAAAACAAATGTTTTTGTTTTGTTTTGTTTTTTTCTCATTGTTTGGATCCTGGATGAATTGTAAGGCTATCTCAGTATGTAACATACTGTATCCTAAAACTTTAAATGAAATGATATACTTTTTTGAACTGAATCTGATTTATACATGTGTTACCCATAGAAACCTAAAAAAATCCTAAGTCTGCTTTTGTAAATTTAGATATTTTGAATATCAAGCTTTTTAAAATTTGTATTTTGACCTCTGAGAGTTGCCTTTAATAATTGAAGGTTGTGATCATATTTTTCTAGATGAATATAAAGAAGTTAAAATTGACTTTAAGGCTATTTCTATGTATAAACTGTTCCAGACACCGTAATAAAGACTGCTGTTGTGAGTTTGGAATAGATTAGGGTTAGCTAGTAGGAAAAGAGGAGTTACAGTTATTTCATAGACTGCATGCTACCCCTTCACTCATCACACCACATAGCCAGTTTTCTTGGGACCTCCGTGCTAATGACCAGGGCATTCTGAATTTAGTCGAATGTTACTGAATAGTGATATTGAAACCCACTGCTTAACTCTGCCATGGGGCCAGTCTATAGAATTTAGTTTAGACTAGAGGTATGGCATCTCCTCTCAGGTTACTGCTGCTGTTTTTGTCTTTTTGTACTATCCATGTGGAATACACCTTTGCTGTTTTTGGAGGATTATTGTGATTGTGGCGGGCCTCTAGCCTGGCTCATTGGTCTTTATTGTATGTCCCGTGTGTGAGCATCACAGGATAGGCTGCTTTGCCTGTTCCTTTAGGTAGCTTCATTTTCTAAGTGGCTCTCTTAGCTTTCCCTAGAGATTCTGCTTTTCTGGTTGCTTTGTTTTGCACAGTTATATATATTTTAAATCTAAGGTGCATAAAAGCGCTCCCCCCCTTTTTTTTCTTTTTTCAGTTCCTTATTCCAGAACTGTTTTGGTTCTGGAGTAAATGCAATAACCAACTATAACTTACTAACTGTTGTGTACTTCAGATTTTAGTAAATCTCTTCCCTCAGAAAGATAAATTAAGACATCCATTAAGTTTCAAGGAAGTAAAAATCAAAAACCTAAGCAAAATATTTATAACTCCATAGTTTCCCTAGAATTATTAAGAAATTTTGAAATAGTACACCAAAATAATTTTATCCTATAATTGTTCAGTCATTTAAGAGTAGATAAAACATAACTTCTTTAAGAATGTCAGCAAATCTTATCTGATAATGACTTTCATATTTATCTCATTGCTACTTTGAGAATTAATAGGTAACAAATGTAGTGGAATTGTGAATTTATCATGTTTAGCACCAATTGGAACTGATTCTCTTACCTAATAGTGGCTTAATTAAGGTTCTACAACTGTAGACAAACATTATGAATAAATAGTTTTATTTATAAATCAGATAGGAAAGACATACACTATTAGGTGCCAGAATTTATTTACTCAATGTGGTATACTAATACGACGTGACATAGGTAGTTCTTTCTGAGTCCTCTGACATGTCAAGTTATGCTTCCTTACCTGTTTTCATGTCCTCTCTAATCCTAGAAAGCTTCTTATAAAACTTAGCTACCTTCCCCCAGATCGAATTCCTTTGGATTTATATTCAGAATGCTATCTCTGCTACATCATTATGATTGTTATCATCAGCATCACTGTAATAGCCTTGTGTATTTGGAATTGATTAATTATATGTCATTAGATTTAAACTTAGTAATTTTTGCTTAAAGTCTAGATGTATCCTGTACAGACAAAGATGAAAGTGATTTATGGGAGGGCACATGTTTCATTAGTGATATTGTCAGATCTCAAATTTGGATATAAGTCTAACACCTTTGTTTGTAATTGTCCTACTAGATTGCTTCCTTTGGTGGGAGGGAGTGCTTCCCCAGGGTCTCCTGCATGCTAGCTGAGTCCTGTCCTCCTGAGCTACACCCCACCCCTTTTATTTTTATTTTGAGACTGGGCCTTTCTTAATTGCCTGGGCTGGCCTCAAACTTCTGAGCCTCCTGCCTCAGTTTCCCAAGCAGCTACTAATTATATACCTGTGTTTGGGCTGCCAGCAGCTCACTAAACTGCCTATAAGATTTTGAGTTTTAATCCTTTGTTGCTTATTTACTTACTTGTGGTTGTTCACTTATGATTATAATCTTAGGTATTTCATGAAACTTACTAAAAAGCAACTAGCCCATTTTGGAGTGGGTATATCATTTTTAAAAGACCATTCAGCTATAAAACTTACCTGTGGCTCTTCCATTGGAAAGGCCACCTACACGCATTGAGAATGCTTTCCATCTAAATAATTGTTTTTCATGAACATGATTTGACTCAGACAGTATTTTAAATTTAAATGTTAATAGGCTTATTCTACTGAGTGACACATATCCTAATTGTTCTACTTGCAGTGAGATTTCTGAAATTACACGTCCTATTGGAATTCATGTTAAATCTTTTTATTGGAATGTACGTGTAAGGTATTACTTGCACATCATAACTTTTTGGTCCTATCTACTTTATAAAGAAACCATGTTGTTATGTTAGCACTCAGACAAGAAATGGAATATTATAAACTTTGTGTCTCCTCTTGGCCATTCCCTTCCCTCAGAGGGAAATACTAATTGAATAAAACTATGTAGATTATTTACGTTTGCTAGTTTACTTAGGTAGAATTATACAATATATTGTTTATGTCTGGCTTCTTTATGATTATAGGATTTCATTGATGTTGCATAGTAATTTGTTTATTCTTATTGTTATACAGTCCATTATGTATCAGTTGATGTTGACACTTTTCAACTATTACAATAAGATTAAGAACTTTCCTGTACATGTTTTTTTATTGGGTGTATACCTAGGAGTAGAATATTGAGACATAGAGTAGTGGACATTTGCTTAACTTTAAAAAATACTACCAATGAGCTTTCCAAAGTGGCTATACAAATTTAGATTCCTGCCAGCAGTGTTTAAAAGTTTCATTGTTATTCATCTTTGTCAGCTTTTGTAATTATTACATTTTATATTAACCTCCTGGTGCTTTAACCTGTTCTTGTGATTGTGTTATTTGAAGAGGGTTTTAGCTTAGCTGGTAGAATCTTTATTTTTTTATTTTAGGGAAGGGTCTACAGGTGTTCAGGGTCTCACTACTAGATCAGACTCGTAGTGATCCTCCTGCTTACAGCCTCCTAAGAGCTGGGATTACAGGCACATGCCACCATGCCCTGTCTCAGTAGCCCTCTCAGCATGCCCCAGGGGGGAGGCTAGGAAGGCAGACCTGGGGATCAAACTCCGGCTCCTGTGCCTGCTTGCTGGCACTTTAATCTGCTGAGCTATTTGGCCGGCCCTTTTGTTATTTTATTTTTTAAAAGGAGTACAAAAAAAGTATGGACCATTTCAGGAATTTGCATGTCATCCTTGCATAGGGCCTATGCTAACCTTCTCGTACAGTCCCAGGTTTAGTGTATGTGCTGCTGAAGCGAGCACTGCCCTAATCCTGGTAGACTAGATAGAAGATTAAAGGGTCAGAAAAAAGCTGTTAAGATCCATTTTTCTTCTTTGGTGCGTGTTTACCATGCCAACCTGCCTTGCAGGTAGCCAGCTATGAGCTGAAACCTCTACAAACTGTAAGCCAAATAAACCTTTCCACTTTTAGTATTGGGTGTCAGATATTTTGTCTTAGCAGTGAGAAAAATAGTTAAAACAGTGAGTCTAAATAGCAGTATTCAGAAGAAAAGTACTTAACGGGCCACATACTAGAGCAACCACAATCTTGGGGGGTCTAAATAAGTACTGTGTTCTCAAATAGGATTGGATGGTTTGCATGTGTCCTCCGAAGGCCATTTGCTAAAGGTTTGGTTGGCATCCCCTGGCATTGATGGGAAGTGGTGGCTCTTTTAAGAGGTGGGCCTAGTGGGTATGCAGTAGGTCACTGGGGATAAGCCCTTGAACAGGAATATTGTGATCCTGTTTTCTTCCTGGCCACTATGAGGTGAACGTAATCAGAAAAGAGTGTCATATAAACATCAATAACTAGATACTTCAACCTCTAAAGAAAGCATTTTTCCAGTAATCATTGAACTGTTAACTTCAGAGTAGAGGTGATAATACAGTGCTTACTTTAGATTCACTGTGAAATTACTGTGAAACACTTAGAGAGTAGTGCTCAGAAAAGTGAAAACTTAACATGTTAGTTTCTATTTCCTCTCTTGGAATATTTTGGTGCTTCCAGCTTTACTTTAATTCTAAAAATCCTTGAGGTTCAACTTGAGTCCTGACCCTTCTACAGATTCTCTTGATTTTCATAGCCAAGACAGTTTTTCCTGAATTTTAGTGAAATCTAAAATTTTCCTCTGGCATTTATGTGCACCTTTTTACATACTTATCTGTAGTCACCTTTTATATAGTGTATTTTCCCAGAGCATAAGTTCCTTAAAAATAGACATTGTATTTTAATAAAGTTGTTAGCTCTGTCATTATGAGCATCTTTGCAAGAATCTAGAAGTTACCCAATAAAAAAGGAAAACTTGCTTATTGAGTTAATAAATTCTACTTTATTGTAGCATTTTTTAGTACGTTAATACAATTTAGACGCACACAGTTATTTCATCAATCACAGGGAATTTGCACCTGCACTGAATGTCCTTTGCTTCCTTTTTGCCCATTCCCCTCACTTCCCTTTTACTTCTGCTCGCTTCTATTTACAAAGCCTTGTTTCCATCTCATCCTTTCCTCACTTTTTTCTTTGCCTTTCCTTTCTTTTCCCCTCCTCTATCCCAAGTCTTTGTCCTTTTGAATAATTTGGTCCTATTTCACAATTTGTTATGCATTTTGTCCTTATTTACACTTTCATTTTCTTATTTTCACTTTCAGTCTTATCAGAAAGACAATGTAATATTTGCACTTGTGTTCGATTTATTCCACTTAATCCATCCATTTACCTATAAATATTTCAAGATATCTGGGCATGGTAGTACCACCCCTGTAATCCCAGCACTTGGGAAGCTGGGTCAGGACAATTGCTGTGTATTCGAGACCAGCTTGGGCTACCAAGTGACTTCAGGCTAGCCTGAACTACATAGTGAAACCCCATCTCAAAGATAAAAAGATAAAAATAAATAAATCTCTGAAGTTTATCCTTCTTTGTGGCCAATTAGTACTGTGTTGTATTTAAAAAACAAAACAACAACAACAAAAAAAAACCCATACATCTTTTTTATCCATTCCTCAGAGGATGAGCCTTTGAGTTGTTTCCACAATTTAGCTATTACAGACTGTGCTACTATAAACATGCATTTGCATATGTCACTGTGATATGATGCTTTTAATTCTTTTGGGATGATATCAAGAAAGAGAATAGCTGGGTCAAGTGGGACCTATAGTCCTAGTTTTTGTGGATTCTCCACATTGATTTCCACAGTGGTTACATCAGTCTACACTCTCACCAACAGTGGACAAGGGTTGCTTTTCCTCCATGGTTCCTCCATCATTTGTTATAGGTTGATTGCTTGATAATAGCTATTCTTTCCAGGGTGAGATAGAATCTCAGTGTTGTTTTAATTTGCATCTCTCAAATGACCAGTGATGTTGAACATTTTTTTTTCATATATTTACTGTTTGTATATCTTCATTTGAGAAGTGTATAATCATCTCAGATTCCCCAGTTTTGCATTGGGTCTTTAAATATGGGAGTGTCTGATTTTTTGTTTTTTTGGATACAGGGTCTCGCTATACAGTTCAGACTTGTAATGATCCTCCCATCTCAACCTTTCTAGTGCTGGAATCACAGGTGTGAGCCACCATGCCTGGTTTTGGGGCAGGCATGGCATGCAGTACTGAGGATGAACTTGGGACCTTGCACTTGCCAGGCAGGTGCTTATGCTGTCAAGCTATCTCCCCAGCTCTCAATTCTCTCTTTCTGTTTCTGTCTCTGTCTCTCTCTCTGTTTTTGTCTGTCTGTCTGTCTGTCTGTCTGTCTGTCTGTCTGTCTCTCTCT